GTGCGCCTATTAAACGCGATGTAATAAAAACAATAATGACTACGTTGCAAGGCGTACGCGGGTAATACATGTTATTGTTCTATATTGTGTACTTGCAGCGGCAAGCGAATCGAGAACGCGATAGAAATACGCACTTTATAGTTTATATATATGAATATTTTATGTAGGTATACTTGCCGCCGCAGCCGCGACTTGTGATTTTTTTTCGTATAACATTTGGAAGCACTCGCTGAGGAGAGTTGACAGAATTTCAAGTTGAGACGAGCAGAGTAGTTGTTATTTCAAGAGAGAAAAAACCTAAAAAAAAAAATATAATAATTTTAAAATCATGATTTGTTTTTCACTTCCGACTAAAAAAAAAAAAAATTGTTTTTTGTCTGTGAAAATTATGTATAGGTACACTCTAAAGTATATTATATTTGATTTTTGACATTTCACGGCGCGCTTATACCTATAATAGGTATTGAGGTATACCACATAACCAGGCTTCGGGACTTACGGCACTTATAATCATCAAAATAAGCAAAAAAAAGCATTACAAAAACTATTAACACAATTTTTTTGTATACTAAGGTTTAATCTTTATGCTTAGAAACATAAAAAAATTAAAACTTTTAGCGTTTTAGAATTGTTGAAAACATTTTGACTTCTTTATTATACTTCTCAAATATTTGCTGAAAAATTGTCTAATAACCGAAAAATCGATTGATTTGGTCGATTATTAGATAAGCTAGCAATACGAGTTGCGGTGTTTATCACTCGGAAATATGATACAAAATAGAACAATTATTCTTAGTTCTAGGTTTACCGTGAACAAAAACAACAGAAAAACAGAAATTAACTAAAATGTCTAGGTTTTTGTCAGTGGGACCTGTCTATATCTTGACTAGGCCGTGTATTGTGTCATCAGAGATATGTATAAATGTAAAAATAATCTGAAAAACTGGAAATAAGCATTTTTAAAAAAAAACCAAAAAAAAGCGCTTTCAAATTTCATAATTGAACGTGTTGTAACATGACGTACATTTCCATACCACTCTGCTAGATTTTGTGTCAAACCAGAAAAATAAGTAAATGCTAAAAGTTCCGAGCCCGGCTCATAACTATATTATTTTACAGCATATTATATTATTACATAATACATTCGATGGGTATATAAATAATTAAAAGAACAAAAAACCGTTATTGGTAATACTGTATTTATGCTCAGTACTCGTGTCATAGAAATCACTAATAATGTGAAGAGTTATAATATTATTGTAGTCAGATAATGTTGGAAATGGGAATAATTCAGTGGGGGTGAAAGTCAAAAGTGCTTCATCGATTTTTGAACGTTTTAATCTTTGGAGAACGGGGCCATGCATGTGGACTATGTACAGCACATAATATACTTTGCTAGTGGTTCAACTGTATTATATTACTGCTATGCACGGTTTTTTATTTGTAATAAAAAGTCCAGCTTTGTTCAGCAGTGTTTAAACACTATATACTAATAATAACAGTACTATTAATTGATAAAATATCTTTAAAAAAAATGGTTGGTGAAAATGTAATCGAACGTACAGTCAATATCAGTTTTATTAAGACTTAAATATTCTCGTATTCCAACTATTATAATACAATTATTGAAATACGGTTCAAACGAATCGCAATTTTTCAATACGGTTTTCGCCCACTGTTGCCCAAACTTTCTTTGCAGCCCTATCATATTATAATTTTTGATAAATAACAGTTAATTTACTAGATCCTAGAGGTAAACCCGTTGCCTACTATGTACAGTACACGTAATCATAAATGTTATGTAGATCTATCTCACTCTGACGAGAGTTTTCACGCGTCGTCGCCGGTTGCCGGGGCTGCGGTGGCGGTATTAATATTAAAATTAAAAAAAAAAAATCTTTGAAAACCGGTCGGTCGAGAATCGAATCAAACACGCGCGTTTTGATAATCAACTGACGTGGCGTTGTTATTGGACTGTGGAATATTTATTATCCCTCGACGGCTGCGGTCGATTGCACACCGTCAAAATACAGTTGCCCCCCCCCCCCGTTCTCTGCAGACAAAGCCGAGATTACGAGTGTGCAACTTATAACCCACACACACACACACACACACATGCGGTATACCTATACAATATGCACAACAACAACAATAATAATAATAACGACAACAGTAGTGACAACAACTGCGACAACAGCGACGACGTATACCTATATTTCGACGGACCGGTGGTCTGAACGACTGAACGGGCCCGAACGTTTTGGGGTGTCACTTTTCCACCGAAATTGACTTTTAATTTGAAGCCGTCGGACCGTGAGGGATAAGCCTCTGCATGCTCGGGGAACTCGGTGGGCTCGTCGCGCCATACACGAGGCCTCTATACACACATATAGGTATACATCATATTATATGACTCCGAACGAGGAAATTGGATGTATTTGGATGATGTGTGGACGATAAAAGACGAGTGAGAAAAAACAACGTTTATTGTGCCGTGTGGAATTTAAATGACAATTTTCCGGTGAAAGCGCATCATCAATGCCTATATATTATGTTAACTGCTGCACACACACACACACACACACACACACACACTATATTCGACATCACAAAACACTCGAATGTGACCGGTGTACATTATTATGATCGTTATTATTTTCGTATGAATAAAAGAAAAAAAAACCAAAATCCCCGTATAGAGTTACACTCGCCTGCCGTTGAACATAAAAAACGTGATTTATATAATCTATGTACGATATATCGTACTATTATGCCGGTATGAATAATCCGTACAAAGTAGAATTGAGGCACAGTAACTCACCACACGTGAACCCTGTAAAAGTCATATACTATTTTTGTGATATAAAATATAAATTAAATTACAATTATCTGACTGAATGACTTGGTACCTATCAGTGGCGTACACAGCTATTTTCAATGGGGGGGGGGGCTTACGTATAAAAAATTATATACATATATATATTATACATTGATAAATCAAAATAATATGTTGTTTAACTAATATTTATTTTCATTATAAAACAATGTCTATTTTCCTGGGTTTTTGTCCCAACTCATCAATGACTTCTTCAGGAGTTAAATTTATATCACGGTATACCGACAACATGGTCAATCCATTTAATCTGTCCTGTGTAAATACTTAATAATTATATTTCAGTTTAAAATATAATGTTATAATATAATGGAGTATAATTTGGAATATCCCATATCTAATAATAATCATTATTAAATAATAACTTCGGTGACGACGGTCTTCTCGCCGTACATTTTTAATCGAAACTAGATTGTGACGGTAACACTGAAATTCCCTTAATTTAATTTTGTATTTATTTTTTTTTTTAATTGTCATCATTTTTACAATACATTTTTACGTAATTACGTAAACTGAAAAAATACTAAAGGGGGGTTTGAACCCCCCCCCCCCCGTGTGTACGCCACTGTATTTAACTACAAAATTAAAAANATACATTTTTACGTAATTACGTAAACTGAAAAAATACTAGGGGGGGGGTGTTCCCCCCCCTCCCCCCGTGTGTACGCCACTGGACTGCCTATATATGCTTTGAAATAATGTATTATTGCGCTTATTAAATGTGCACAGCAAATCCCCAAGTGTCTTTAGCAACTTGACTATTCAGTCTATTTGAATACGCCTATACCTAGTAATAATACCTACTGAGATGTTTTTGAGTGAACAATTTCTTTTGCGGTGTGTTACATTGAAGTATTGTACCGTGTCATAATTTATTGTAATATTGATATTTGATTTATCATACAAAATCGATATCCCATTAGGGTGTATTAATTTTAATAGTTTTAGTATAAGATAAAGTGTAAACCGTGTTGTTCGTGTATTTAATTAAATGTTTTTTTTTATTTTAATGCAACCGAGGTGTGTTTTATTACCTACCTATTCGTTAAACTCAAATTAAAAAAATATTAGTACATATTTAAAACATATATATTATCAGGATCTTTAATAAAATAGTTCAAATTTCTCTTTTCATTATTAAGTCCTTAATAATTAGAAGATGACATTTATTGAACAAATATATACGATTAACCTTAGAAATTAATTGACAAAAAATTTAAAACGCATTAGTTATATACATATTAAACAACGATCATTTAACTGCATTTCGAATAACACAAATGGTTTATAAGACACATATTGTGAAGGCAACGTATGGAAAGAAATAAGCGAAATTTAATGTAATATGATTTAAAATGTAGTTAGAAGTGTATGGTTTTATTTCCGTAAAACGTTAGAATTTCGCTGTAATTAGTTAATCCATAATATTTTAAATTGATTAATTGTAATACTTAGATTACCATTATGATATTGTGTTCCAGTGTTCTTTCGTATTTTTTTAGTTGATAATAACCTCCGAAAGCATGTATTGGTACATTTTTTGTTTCACTTTATGGAAAATAAATAAACATTCTATGGGTATATCAACAACTGACCGAAACAATGAATTTTCATTCACTGCAATGTAAGTTGTTGCATAAATGGAATTAGTAATTTAAGAATGTTGTACAAACTAACTATAAATTATTTTCTTTTTTAAAACTAATTATTAGTTTTACACTTCTACTCATTAGTCATTAAAGTTTGTGTTAAGAAAAAGTTCCAAGTTTCTATAGGTACACATATAGTCAATAGGCACCTATATTTGTATCAGATGAATTATTTTAAGCTAACATTATAATAAAATGCACATTTTCAAAGAACAAGTTAGTAATTTTCCCTTTTATTATACAGAGATTACGGTGCATACCTATTATTATATTATATTATATTATGTAAGCATGGGCGTGAGTGCGTGACTAGTGCTTTAAGTTAGGGAGGCTTGAGTCCTAAAAATGTTTTTGATAGCAAAATAAGGTACCAATGAGAACATGATTTCCTAAACACAGTTCAAAAATTCTGTGGGGGGGGGGAGAGGGGCTGAAGCCCACCCTAGCCTCCCCATTGTTACGCCTATGTGTATACAAGTATAGGTATAGCGTATAATTTTCTAGAGTAAATTATTATCTACGAACTTTAGTCTTAAGTATACACTATGATGAATTATAACTTAGGTACGAGTATAATATCGTACCACATTCAGACTTTAAAATGTTTAATTTTAGAATTAAAAAAGTTTGGGGTCTATACATAGATTAATATGTCATGTTTTGGTGGTTAGAGTGGAGACTACGTCATATTATTTTAGATACAATGATTTTCCGTTCAATATTGGCATTAAATCATCGCTTCTCTGGTTATTCATCCTGAGGTAGTGGTAGATACAAATCCAAAAACGAAAAATCCTATAGCCGTTTTATATTATAATGTACAAGTGCCTATGTACGAACAGCACAAAACAATATATTGTAATAGGTATCTACGTGAATTTTTACCATCGTCGATAGACCTGTTGCGACTAGGGATAATATATAAACATAAATTTATGATTTACCCGGCACCCAGCCGTATATAATATGTATATACCTACTGCAAGTACGTCTACGAGTATTTATTGGCGGTTATTCTCACCATAACCGATTAAATTCACAAAATGAGACTGTGGTAGTCACCCACCACCCTAGAGGTGGGCCGCGGCTTGGTTAATTTATTTTAATAGAGTGTATATAATATATAAACAATTATAATTTATACTATATCATAGCTACCTTCGACCTGTGATAACATACGCCCGTGAAACCTTGTCGTTGACTAAAGGTGATAGCAGAAGACTTATCACGTTCGAGAGGAAAGTGTTACGAACCAATTATGGACCAATCTTCAACCCAGAAACACAGACATAAACGAAAAAAGAAGCAACGAAAATATAAAGTCTCTTTGTAATAAGCCAGACATACTAACTACTTTATTAGGAAAAAACGACTAGAGTGGTTCGGACGTGCATGGAGGGCAGATGGACAATTAATTAAAAATGTACTTATCAATAAAATAAATAAGACAAGACCCCTAGGACGACCCAAAACCCGATAGATTGACGTAGTTGCCAAAGGTATAGAAATGATAGACCAGGACGCAACTTTAGAAACAGCATATCAGAGAGAGAGGTGCAGGATAGAGATTTTGATGGCAGCGATGGTCCTGAATGCCGACGAAGAAGAAGATAATTTATATAGTACTCGTAATGGATTATGGTCTATGAACGACGACTGCAGCCTTCGCACTTCGGCAAAGAAATGATAAAACAATTTTTTTTGAATATTTATCGTGCCGTGGTACTAAATTCGTCACCACACTATTTGTAGTCTTTCGAAACCGATACTACGATGGAGCACGGCATACATAAAATATGTTATATACCGATAACGTCGTCAGTATAGGGTAAGTAATAAAACGATATTATAACATTAAAATAATACGATATTACGCATACTTACGTCATTACAGTATATATAATATATATTAATATATTTAATATATTTATATATAATTATAGCACAATTATACGCACAATTAAATACCTCAAGTCAATAAGGACCACTGGAAGGGACGACGAAGACTTCGGTGTCTGTGTACCTGCGTGTACTATCAAAAAATAATACGTCCTAATATTATGCGGACGCGCATGTGTGTTTTTGGCGGTGAGCGGTGGTGTTCGGGCGCGGAAGGGGGCGATGGAATAGCGGGCGAAGGGTTTGGCCGCCGGAAAGTCAGTCCCCACCCCTGCACACCCTCCGCTCAGGGCCGCATCAACCACCCCGCGGAGCGCGGAAACGCGGGGCGAGAAGGACGAGGGGCGACGTCGTGCCGCCGTCACTCACCCAATGGCGCAGGTCCGGCGGCTGATTGGGGGGGCGTGGCCAGCCGGCAGGCCGCAGCGTACACGCCCGTTCCGCGAACTGCGAGACCCGCGGCAGAGCCGTCTTCCGCAGGACGATGTCGCCGTGTCGGCCAGTCGATCGCGCGCAACACGTCCGGTTGACGACTGCAGAACGCGACGCGCACGTCCACAAAATTATATTCACATCGTACACGCCAGGCGTCACGGCGATATAATTACGACGTGTGACAGAGTAATATTCGCGTATATTATTATTATATCGTCGGGATATCGTTATCGCGGTCCGCTCGTCTCGCGTGCATCGATGACGGTACAAGTCCGTCGTCGTTTACAATAACACACCGCTTTACAGTGTATACCCGACTCCTCGTCCTTTTGGGATACATCGCGAGGACAACCGTCGAAGGTGCAACTCTCTGCAACTCGATCGTCGGACATCGTCTGGCATATAATATACACGCCCGGGCCGACAGGTACTATGATGATGTTGCAGAACCCGCTGTTCCAGGAGTACAACACCGCTCTGTCGCAGTTGCTCGAACTGCACCAACAGCAACACCGGTACCAGCACCAGCAGCACCAGCAGCAGCACCAGCAGCAGCACCAGCAGCACCACCACCATCACCAACATCACCCCAACAGACAACAGCTGCACCACCGCGCGGCCGGGAACGGGTCGTCCGCCGCCGCAGCAGCGGCGGCAGCAGCAGCAGCGGCAGCCGCGGCCGCGGGAGTGTTCCAGAGTTACGCGGGCGGCGTGAGGACGGCCAGCCGGGACAGCGCCGAGTCGGACGGGCTGAGCTCTTCGTCGCCCAGGCCCTCCAAGCCGTTCACCATCGACGCGATACTCGGACTCCAAGCGGGCGCCGTCGTGGGCCAGTCGGCCGCAGCGACGGCCACACTGCCGATCGACCCGTCCACCGCCGGCCCGGTGGCCGCGCTCGACTTTTCCACCGGTTCGGCAGCGGCTCACGGCAAAAAACATCGCGAAGGTAATATCCGCTGTGAATAAAAATATCGTTTTGCACAACATATTTTATATATTATCACCGTCGACGCGACGTCTTAGTACCCGAAATCGTGATTTGTAATCGATCGATTATAAATAGTTCGATATTATATTATTACGATTGACTGGTACGGATAAATGATAATGCGTAATTTGTAGGGCTCGAAAATTATACCACAGGAGTTGTGCTTCCGATTTATATAGTTATTCGTCTGTGCAGGCCGAGTGACATAAATCCATTCTGTATTTCCGCTCGACTAGTTTGAACGCCAAAATAGTAAGACGAGCACATCATGTTTTTCATTTCGGATCGCTCTTTTCGATTTTGAACATACATAGTAATATATAAACCAAAAATACCAAATCGCCGTTGACAAACAACAGCCAATATACCTACGTTTATCAAATATTTTTGGAATTTCGCACAAAACGTTTGTACATTTTAGAGTTTTTTTTACTAATTTACTCAAATAATACTTTCGAGCCATAGTATAGTAGTATTGTTGTTGTTATCCTAGTGCTATTGGAATACGTGTTATATGCCTGACGGTCTACGGATTCACACGCGTAGTAAACAAAAACCGATTCCCACCACTCGCTGGACCATCTGAATTATTTTTTTAATAAACACGCCACGCCGCTCCTGTATGTCCGGGCAACAAGTCGGTATAATTTTACAACGCACTTTTTTCCAAGTACGGCGATATTGTTTTATGCAATTTGTCAGTGCGCGCGATTACACCGCAAACAGGTGCTCAAACGGACGTAACAATGTACAGTCGTGCAGTCACATAAGTACAGGCCTACATATATATGTATATAGCAAAACCTAAACCGCGTTTAGACTCTTTTCGGAGTGCCTACACAACGAATTCGTTCGACAATTTCGCGCACTATACATAATAGTAAGTTGTTACAAATATTGATTACTATGCAGCATCATAAATCGTACGAAAATAATTATCGAATACACTTTGTGCTTTATGCAGTGATACGTCTTTGTGACATTTTATTATTATTGTGCGCACGGCGTGATAACGGCACCGAGACGGTTATAATCGAGTGTCCTTTGAGCCGGATCGATTCAATACAAATAATCGTTTTAATTGGTCGAAATTACTTTTTATGTACGTGTGGCGTGTGAACATTATATTATTATACTATAATGTAACTTGTAAGATATAATAAAATTATTCCATCCATAAAAATCTAGGCTAATGAAATATTATTATGTACCCGGTATGCATCTCGACGCGTAAACATAATAATAAAACTAGTTTTGTACATTATAAAACACCTAAGTATATAGCTAAGGATTCCTTCTCCTAGTAATTTTCCACCATTCTATCTATGCTAAAACATACGGTATTTATATCATTATTTATGAAAATAATATATAGGTGCACGTTAAAAAGGTGCTCTATACTCTCCACCACAGATGCAAAACTCGTAGGTTATATTATATTTGCGTTGTATACTGTATGCTTTATATTATAACATTTTTATAATATATATATTATACATAAATTCAAAATAACTTCTCGGCTAATAACCCGTCTGTAAATTATATTTATTGAATACGACTGCTCTCGTGACTACTGTGCACTAAAAAAGTTAACATTATACGGTACTCGCAATGATCGTGGTTTGTATATCTACACTTAGGAAGAATACGGCGCCTAAGTGGAAATGTATTTTTTAATAATCAATATACGCATAGACATTTATAATCTGTTGTTGTCTGTTAAACTCTTTCAACTGCAACGACAATCGGCAGCGAATTTGAAAACTGTTACTACACACAGTACAATATGATACAAATACTATACTTCCTTGATTTATTGAAAACATTATTCAATAACGCAATTTATAAAATAAAAATGTTCTACGTTTTTTAAGCAAACGCGTCAATAATTACTGAAATAATTATACCCACGCGGGTACACTGCGGAGTATAGTTTATATTGATATACATAATAATATATCTTATACAATTAAGTCAATTACCGTCGAATACGTCAAGCGAGTAATTTTTTCAATATACCTGCCCACCACCCAGCTAATACCAATCGATTATTATTAATGTTTTATGTTAATTTTACAAAATTGGCTGTGGCAGATACTTGTGTACAATAATTGTGTTAGGCTAGGTTAGGTAATATTTTGACATGTTGATACGCGAATGACATACAAATAATTACCTAGATTGATAGCTGATATTTGCATTGTTTTTTTTTCTAATGATTTTTAAAGACTATCTCAACAGACTTCATGTCAGCTCTTTTACTATATTTATGTAGATAATTCTCGTGACCATCATATTCTAACTAATCGGCTGATATTGTTTGTTCGATTATATAATAAACCTACATCTATTATTATAACAGCTACATAATTCACGTAAAAAATATAGTTTAACATCGATAAAGATAAACGATGTGCACAGTTATAATAAACTTTAATAACAACACGACGTTGAGTGAAACGTTTCATGATTACAAGTTCTATTGAATAGATTCATCGTAATACTAAACTATTTGTAATTTAAACATTCGAGTACGTTGAACTAGCTTTAGACTATTTCAAACTAATGTAATATACGTACTATGCTGTATAGGTATCTACTATTATATGAAATATTTACAAAAGATATTCCCTCGTTGTAATGTTTATACACATTTTTAAATCAAAACTTGTATAATTCGATACGGTTATCGGTAATCAATAAAAACATAATATGAAATTTAAATACTTAATACATTTCTTACTTTCATCTCTACATGATAAATATGATATTCTTAAGTCTCTATTAATTTAGAATTTACAAACAAATCGCATAAAAGTCTATATATATTATGTAAAAGAAAAATCTATATAAATTATAAATATATATAATTAATTAATATTATTATAGTCGTTGAAATGGTGTAAATAATTCAATTCAAAACTCGTGAATCCATATTTTATTAAAACTTAGTGTAGATCACTGTAATTTTGACAGTTAATATTCTTTCCCGTTCGCTATAACATTATATGATATCATTTAAAAAGAACTTTAAAATGTAATGTTTACAATTATTTATTAGTTTTTTTCTATATTTTCATCCATAGGATATAGGTAATAAAAAAAATAATAAACGTTCTGTATTTAGGGCTGGGTTTTTTCCAAGTGATATGAATAAATAATATTTCCAAAAAATATGAATATGACGACCCTAAAATGGTATCCATCTTTAAAAATAACAATAGTATAATCACAAGTATGGACATTTATAAATTACAGTAAATAAAATAACTGTCCATTCAACCATAATCCGATAGCAGCCTATGTAATTAATATTTAATAGGTAGGTATTTAATATTATTGTAGGTATCTATACACAGTTACAGGTGTAACAGGCGAGCAGTATTAAAAAAAAAATAAAATGAATGGTTTTGAAACAATTTAATTTATACTTGTTTTATTTTAGTATTTGCCATTTCACTGCATCAAATGTAGGTACCTATTGCATCCGAGGAAAACATGAATAATATAAGATTATTACACCATTACTTATGACATGTACATGTCCATTACGCACAAGTTGTAAATTATTTATAACATAGGTATAACATATTATATAATCAATTTTACATCAGTAACAGCTATAGTAGGTGTTTATTTTATGATGGTTTTAAGCAGTACCTAAGCACAATTCGTTAGGGTATGTTCAGTGCCACATTAAGCCAAATTGCCGTCAGGGGCATTAAACAATTTGGAGCCTCTACATATTTTAAAAAAATATCATATGATTTTCACCTCACTTTTTTCGCTATCACAGACACAGCAAAAATATATTTTAATACGTTTCTCTGTTAGATTTAAAATATTAAAGAGCACAAGCACAATATTGTATTATTTTAAAAGTTTAATACGAAATTCGTAACGGAGAACGCATAATATTATGATATTATGATATATTGTCTAAAAATCTGCTGCCCCTTGAATCACCTCAAAATTGCCCCCCGTTAAATGCGGCTCTGGGTGTGTTTCATATTTGTTTGCATCGCATTGGGTTGGTCTACTTTAAACGCACCCGTCATTTAGTACTTTTTTTAATATTATTTATCCCCTCCGACTAAAATAAAAAGGGAAAAGTTAAGCCTATTAATGTAGATTATATTACTATCGCAAAACGGTATAAGATATTATAAATTATTACAAAACGGTTTATAATATATCTATACTACTTTAAACAAGCAATTTTTATACATTTTTAGTTAAAAAGTCTAGAAGTTTTTTTTTAAAGACTTATCGTATAAATTGTGAGATTTATGTAATAAGGTTTTTTCTAGAAATGATTATACATATTATTATATTATCAAGACAACGCTCAAACATATTTTTACGAGGTACAGAAATCGAAGCGGCTCAAAACGAGGGGCGAGGGAGGGATGAAAATTCGATTATTAAAACAAATTTCTTGTTTAGTATAGGATAAAGGTACTATGAATTATATATATTATGTGTCTTATCTATGTAGTGTGTGTATGTGACTTTGTTATATGATAGTTTAAAGTCAAAGATAAATGATAAAACAATTTTGATAAAAACTAAAACAATGCACTTAATAGTTTTTAAGTACAGTTATTTAAATGGAGAGCATATTTTTGGATGAAATAAGTGGGGTGATAGAAATTTTAAATTAAAAAGTGGAGTGATGCTGTCTCCCCCGTATTCCTCCTTCCACTTCTACCACTGTTTAACTACATTTAATCGGTTCGAATGTGTTAATTACGTTGATTAAATAAGTAGGTACTTACTTAAATATTTCATCACTTTTAATACTTTACAAAGATTTACAACATAAATTACTATAGTTCTAGAAACGTAATAGTTATTTGCAGTCTTTAAATTTTCGTTGATTTTAATAGGCAATAGGTGACTCTGTATTAAAGATTGGCACCTTATTTTTCCGTACATATAAAATTTACCAATAAACT